GCTGTATGCCTTCAGAATATTGGAGCGAGTTGATTTTTTTTAAATTCATTAATAAGGGAAGGACCAGTGTATTTTTTTTCTAGAGTTCAAAAGAATTTGGTGTTTTGCTCCATTACACCCAGAAATAAAATATGAGTCGTTTTCTGTCTAGTTTATGATTTCATAAATGCTATAGCATAAGTGTAATAAAACTATAAGTGGTGTTATCGTCATTTTAGGGATCAAACAGAGTTTGCGGCTCTAGGTGGGTTTTATTTGTTGGGAAATGGGCTCAAATGGCTCTTTGTATGCTGAAGGTTGCCGACCCCTGGTCTAGTGCAACGTCTGAGCTGAAGGGAAAGTGACTATTTCAATTATCCTGGAAACAGGGGTTTAATTGCGTGGTCTTAGAGGATGTGGGCAAAACTCAAACAATGTATTACGCAGTTTGCCCCAAGTTCGAGATCAAGTTGCAGATAGGAAAGGGTCGTTTTTCAAAGCACATCAAGTTTATGAAAACGTCACTGGAGTGTCATAGCAAGAGCCATTTAGTCTTTAGTCCTTACTGTTATTTGATAGCTGCCAATACATAAAACAATTTGTATAGGGGCAAGTGGATTTCTAACCCAAATGCCTGATCAGGTGAGTGAAAAAAAAAACCTTATCACTGAACCCTGTGTACAACTGAGATATTATATGTGACAAATTTTTTATTAGCGGTAACATTAACAATGCTACTGCAAGACTAAACAACCCTCTGAATCAGCAAGGGGTTTCCGCAGTAATTACTGTTGTAATGTAGGTTATTGAATTGCAAATTTCACATTATCAAGCTTAACGATTTCAAGTTGTCTCCCAGGGAATGTGATAAGTCATATATCTGAAGTGTTCAACCTCTCTCAAAAGAAATGTCTCTTCCCTCTATTATCCCCTGAAGCACCTCATCTAAATATGGCAGTACATCATCATTACTGTCTAATCAGTGGAACTTGGTCTCCCCATCTTTAAATTTATGTTCAAGCAGATAGACATTTTAAATGTACGCCGCATCTTATCAGAGATTAAACGTAACAAGAGAAAAAATGGAGAAAAGATTCAGAAACTGGCTGAGAGAGCCTTATGGGAGTGTGAGAGTCAGGGTGACTGTACCCATGAAACCATAATGATAGGGTGATCACTGAGCATAGCAGTGGAACAGGAGGCATCATATTACTTTGTCACTGGGCACATGATGGAAGCTACTGTGGATGATAAGAGCATTTTCATCTATTTCACCAGCTAATCAAAGGATTGGATTTGGCATCCCAGTTATGGTTTTGTTCCCTCTAACCTTTGGGCTTCTGCCACCCATGTGAGCATAGCCAAACAACAATTGTGGCAAAAAGTTAGAATTGGTTGAAATTGTATGAAGCTATTCAACATGTTCATGTCATGAGTAGCTCGGGGTTGGAAATTAGCAGCCACTAGCCAAATGCTGCTGAAATATACAAGTTGCTGCCAGTCTTGCTTCACTCACCAGCCCAAAAAAACAATGGTCATCTATTGAGAGGCTGATAGATTTTTGGAATCCGCCAGCCACATGGCAGGTTTACAACAAAGTTAATTTCCAACTCTGGAGTGGCTACACTCATATTGTCAGAGTTCTTAGTGTGTATATAAATGAGTGAGAGTTACAGTTTCTGTTGTCCACATTGCAGTCCAATCAGTTTTTTCTCACCAGCTGGGAAATGATTTCCCTCTTATCTCCAGATGAAGTCACACTATGAAGCCTAAATGTGTGCTGCAAAAATAATTTGGTACTTAGACCCACAGGGAGAAAGTTAAGGGGTGGATGCATAATTTGTTCAGGCTGATTTTGGTCCGGTCAAGAACTGCATCCCATCTTAGAAAGGGTGTCTCATGGATGTGAAAGGGGATACAAAGATACAAAGCAGGTAAAAGGCATCCTGTGTAGTTCTATTCTACAATCAGCGCTGCGGAGCAATGTTTTCAGAAGACAGTCTATATTTTGTTTGTTGCTTTTCATAAGGAAATAATGCATTAAACAGGTTTGTAGACTTTAAGGAGACTCACAGTGCACGTTGGTGGGTAACATAGGATGTTAAGAGACTCCATAGAGCTCCTCCAAAATACATTATACAAACTTTTACCAGAATAACCAGAACCTGACCAGTCATGCCATTTCTATTTCACTCTTTACACTCTACATTTATAACTACCAAATCCCATCATCAATTCGCAAGCTAAAAAGCAGTGACCTGTTATCTTTTGCTATAAAGTATATAATTGTTTCTGTCATTTTGATGATTTCATTATGTCACTGGGTGTGTGGTTTAATTCAGGAGGGAAGGAAGCTGTTGCAGAGCGGTGTGTGTTTGTGTGTGTAAGATAGTGAATAAATTGAATAAATTACCTACAGGCAACTCAATGTCCTTGTCCCCCGTAGATAAATTCCACCCCACTGGTCTTTAACACATAGTCCATAACAAAATCAAAAATCAGTAGGCAGGTCAGGAAACATTAAGCTAATATCAGATACCGAAGCACAACACTACAACTCATCCTGTTGGTTGACAAATGATGGTTTCCTGATGGAAAAAGTCTCAATTGTTAATTTTTTTTCCATTAAAAAAAAAAAAAAAAACACATTGGAGAGCTTGGCAATTAAGTGGGAAAGATTCCCAACATGACACTAACACAATCCCTTCTTAATGATAGCAGTATGTGCAATAACATTACATTTAGAGAATGTTTTGGAAATTCATGAATGCACAGTAATAGGAAATCCAGCTAAGCTACTTAACTGTCCAGCATAAATTATGCTAAATGTGCATCATTTATGTGCTCCCACTATAATCATCATCTTTCATTCTTAGTGCCTCATTGTCATTCAAAACATGATGGATTTTCACAAATCTCAATACAGAACAGTATTATGACACTGAATATGTTGGGATATAACCAAACCAAACCTAAGCAGCCATTTAAATGTTCCGAATGTAACTTTTTACATGTATTTATTGTTTTTATATTGTCAATGGATGACAGAGAGTAACGTACTTCAAACTATCTCAGATGCCTATAACAGCCAGAAGACTGATTTCTATGAAAAGGACTTTAGATGAATCTTCCAGGACAATCCAAGAGGCGTCAGGTTAGACACACTCCCGGTGCTGACTTTTCAGCTCTGCTACAGTGCCAACAGTGTGAGACACTAGCTAACAATAGCTTAGAAATGGAGTCTGCTGATGTCAACAAACAACCAGTACCTACCACAACACAGAGTCCATAACATGCTGTGTATCTGTTATAGGGTTGGGTACCGTTCATAATTGAACCGATACGGTATTGGTACCAAACGGTACCTTATTTCGGTACTTTTTAAAGTCTAAACTTCTCAGTTTCAACATTTTATTGAGAACATTTAGGAACAGTGCTGCACATTAACTTTTGTCTGCATATTTTTCTGTCGCCATTGTTGCTAAATCTGAGGTGCGAGTCATGCGCTCTCGCTCCGCCTCCACCTCAGGTACCGAAATTTGGCACCGATTCATTTTAAGTGAATCGGTACTCTGTAGTACCGACGTGAATCGGTACCAAGTACAAAAAGTACAGAGTTTCGGTACCAAACCCTAATCTGTTATATACATTTTGCAGCAGCACCCTGGAGACAGACCATAACTTTGCAGCTGTAGCAACTTAAATTCAGCCAGCGCACGATGCAGCACCAGGGGTCTGATCGTCCCAACTCCTTGATAGATTAGTAAGCTTCCTGTTGCTGCTGTCACACACATTAGATCTACTAGCACTAGCGCTGGCCACAAAACCTGTGACCCCCTGCGCTGGGGTTTTTGCTGGTTGAATTTGAGTTGCTACATCCATTGACTTAAGGTTCATCTCCGGAGTTGCATCTGCTCTCTTCCCATGAAGTAGTCTCCAAGCAGTGGGAAGTGACCACAGGGGACAGCGACAAATAGTAAATTCATCAAATTAACTTCACTACTTAGCAACCAACACCAGATCCATGCAAGTTTAAGTTGCCATCCGAGTTCCAGACAGCTGGCCACCCTTAAGCTATGCCGCATGGATCTGCTGTTGGTTGCTTCATAATGTTAGCTGGTAAAGAAATTTGCCAGTCTTAGTATCACGATGCCAGTGGTCCAAATGAAATACAGGAACATTACAGATGAGGTTATCCTGAATTTTCCAAAATTCAATGTACAATACCGAGGTGCTCGATGAGGGTGAGCAAGAGGATGGAGAGTCCATTTCACTTATGTGCCGTAAGTGAACAAAAATATGTTATAAGGGTCCTTTCTTTTCCCTTTGTGACTTCAAAAAACGAAAAGAAAAGAAACTGATGGGGGGAAATTTTCATCTACTAGACATTATGTGCAAGAAAATAACCGAAGCTCAAAATAATACCACAATAACAACAGTTCTCTTTCATTATGAATAGTAAAATATACTTGTGTATTGCAAAACTCCCCCATCTTTCATATGTGGACTTTTTTTAATAATAGTAATTTATATTTTTTGAAGTTCTACTGGAACCACACAACTGCCTTCATAACAGTAATATGTCAGATAATGACAGTTGCTGTTTGAGTTTCGAGTCTTTGAGTTATAAAACTCAGATTTCTTGGTTAGTTTTCTTCCAAAATGCAATTGTAGCAGTTAGTAAATAAGGCCTTTAACTTCCCCTATATAAGCATCTTATATAAGCAGACATTATTAATCACAACAAGGGGATTATGCTGTGTAATACTAATTTCCCTAAAATGTGGTTAGGTGTAGAAAAGGCTAATGTTTTGTATAGAATATATTAGAGCATTCTATTGTCTGTATATATAATCATTTACTCCTATGGCAATTATAATTGTATTACAGGTCTGAGTTTTACATTACCTAAAGCTTTCAGCATCAGCTACATTTTTGCTAAAGTGACTAGAGGATTAGTCATGCTGCAGCATGTCATAGGTATTATGTGTGACAGGATCATTTTGTATTCTTCTGCTTACCCCATCCGATGAGGGTGAAGCCCCAGAGGTATTTGGAGTCTGATCGGAAGGCCATGAAGATGAGACTGTGGAGGTAGAGGCCTTCTACCAGGATCCAGTAGTAATTGGTGGCCAGAAAATAGATGAAGAGCAGCACCGTCACCTTGCAGCCAATCTGACAACAAAACAATTACACTTTCATCACATCCTATTTGTACCTGTTTATTTGTGAGACTGTGTGTTGACAATCTATTGTGTTCACAATACTAACTCTTACACCACAGGCGCCCCTTTGAGAGCAGACAAACTAATTATAATTTGTAGCAACTTGCTGCATTAATTTGCACAACAATTAGATAAAGTAAACAGCAGTGAAACTGTCAATAGAAAGTTCACGTTGATGAAAGCCTTCAAATTTACTTTAATTGACCTTTGTATTTGATCACTATTATCAACAATCTCATTTAAAAAATGAAAGTAGTACTTCAAAATAGGCATGCAGAAAAAAAAACATACACTCCAAAGGCTTAGACAAAAATTCAGTGATGTCTTGTGTATGTGTAGCTGATGGTGAGGTGAGGATAGCAGAGAATCACCTCCCACTCCATCACAGGATACATTAACCACTCCACTCACATTCATTGTAATGAAACAGCCTAAAATCTCAGCAGTGGTGAGTGGGGAGGACAAATTAGAGAAGACAGAAAATACACTATTGAAGAAATGATACTATATTTTACATTTAGTCGCACGATCATGATAATAAATGAATACATTTATTTGCATTTCCTCTTTCTCTGTCATCCACAAATAATATCCTGACAGGAAGACAAATTATTCATGTGCAAGAAGACTGATTATTCATGTGCATGCAATGCATTAATTTGCACAGAGCAATGTAGTCACATTTTATACTTACATTTGTCTTATCTTACATTTCATAATCTATACTCAATACATAAAGCATGACAGAGTATACTGATTTCCAGACGCACAGAACAAATGCAGTTGGGATGTGGGTATAGTACATGCACGTGGATAAAGTTCTTTACATGTGTCTATCATCATGCCCTGCTGATATAATTCCAACTAAATTTTTTAAAGAGGTCCTGCCAGTCATTGCCCCCACCGTCTCTCTATTGTAAACCTCTCTTTCTCCTCTGGCTACATACCTGACTATTTAAATACAGCCAGTGAGTGTGTCCCCTCTCTTCAAAGAAACCCTCCCTGGATAGCCCTGATTTCATTAACTACAGGCCCATTTCTAAACTTCCCTTCTTTAAAAAAAAAAAAAAAAAAAAAAAACATCTTGAAAAAGATGGGGCTCATCAGCTTTTCAAACTCACTGAGGGACACAATCTCTTTGATAAATTTCAACCTGGCTTCCATCGAAAACATAGTAGTGAAACAGAGCTGTAAGATTAATGAATTAATCAATAGTTGTAAACTATTTAATTAACCACCAACTATATAATATTAAAAACAATAATAAACAATATTTGAATAATTAAAAAATATTTTCTGTTTTCTTTATTCCAAAAAACAAGACATTAGACGACATCTCTGGCTTTGGGAAACACTGTGTGACAATTTCCACCATTTTCTGACATTTTATAGACCAAACAACTAATCAATTAATCGAGAAAATGATCGACAGATTAACAGACAATAAAATCAATAGTTAGTTGCAGCCTTACCGAAATGGCACTGCTTAAAGTCTAGGGCCTGGAGGATATGCATATCTTCTGATTCAATACTATCACAATACTTTGGTCCCAATTCAATAGATAATGCAGTTTTTAAGAATTGCGATTCAATATAACAATTTATTTATAACTTTGGTTTAATTTTTAAACTCTGAACAATAGCATTAAGTTGAATCATACACTTCTAGAGACTGCATGTCATGATACATATTTCCAAAAACACTGCACGTCTCATATCACTTAGTCTTTCTGTTATTTCAGCAGCAGCATACTGCATAGAAAAGTGGTAATGTAATGTTTTAATGGTTTTATTTCAAATTATTTCATTGCAGTTACGCACGCATGTGTGACTTTGCTCTGTGAATGGTATTATATTAAATAAAATGTCCATATTAACATTACATGTACAATAGAACAAATGTAAATTTGAAGTTGTCTGAACTTAAACTGCTGGACTACATTTAGTCGTTCCTGCTCATTAAGCTTGCAGTGTTCCCCATGCATTGATTTATTTGCGGTGGCTGCCACAACATCAACACTGACCACTACCAGTGGCTTTGTTTTGGGTTTTTTTAGTATTCAAAATGGGTAAAGTCTTCTCCTATTGTGGTGCTTTGCACAGGGGATTGATTTCATTGGCCCCTCACCCTGCTCTTGCTTCCTGTGTGTCAGACCACAGATGAGACAAGAATTAAGTAGCTAGCCACTCTGCAGTCCCTCTGCTTCTCCCCACGCTAGACTATATATCATTATACTAGACTATATATATATATATATACTAGACTATATATCACTATATAACTACTATATCACAGGGGGGAGTGGGGACAGAAGCCCTGGAGACAAAGCTCACAGTAGTAGTTGTAGCACCTCAAATTCAGCGGGCGCCAACCCCGGTACCAGGTTTCACAGCTGGCTGGGTCTAATCTGTGTAACCGCGAAATAGGGCTGCACGGTATATGCGGTAGACGGTAGAAATGATATAAATTTGGCCCACGGTAGAGATTTGCGCTCTACCGTCCTATCATCGATGACGTCATCGCACCTGCCTCAGTGTGAAAATGGCTGCGAGCACAGAGACAGCGGAGCAAGAGGAGCTGGTTCACGTCCGTGATTTAGCGTAGCACGTGCAACATGTGTTGCTGGAGAACTTGTGAGTGAGTGAGTTAATGTCTTATTAACAGCCCCGGACTTCTCAGACTCTTTTAGCGACTTACCGCTCAGAGGGAACTCATTCAGTGTCTCCTCTGGCAGCAGCACAGCGTCTCTCCCTCTCCTCTCTCACCGTGCGCACACGGGAGTTGGCTTTCGGCAAGAGAGTTTGTCATAAACCTTTGGTAATGTAAACCTATGTGACGCTAGGGGCTCCACAAAAAACTCCATATGTGAATGTGTGATAGTTGTGGTATCATAACAGCCTGTCACAGGTCACAGCGTGATGATTAGAGGAGAAATGGCAGAGCATAAAGGTCCAGGTGGAAAAAACACAACTCAGTCATTTAGGATTTTGCTAAAAGAAGGAAATTACCTTTTGATATAGATCCCAGGGGACATTTTGCACCATAAAGTACTGGGTTTTAATTTTGAGTTTTGAGATCTGCATTCTGCACAATAAATGCTCTAAAAAATACATTATATCTTTGCTTTTGTTGTTGTTTTTTTATCAATTTAGCTTTGCTAAGGGACTAAAAAACCCATTCAGAAACACTTCTATTATAACTTTTACACTTAAATTTATACCGCGATATATACCGTTACCGTGAAGGGATTCGATTTATACCGTGATATAAATTTTAGGTCATACCACCCAGCCCTACAGCGAAATTTGTGCTTGGTTGGCTGAATTCAAGTTAGTTTTTGAGCAGATGATGGTTTGTCTTCAGACTGTCACCATTGTCTGCTTTCTCGCTTCGGCGTGTTTTTTCTTGAAACAGATGACATCTCATGATCTTAAAAGCAGCAACATCTTTCCACCGTTTAAATCATATCTATTCAAGCATCAACAATTGATTCAAAAACTGGAAAAAACTGCTGCCTCTGATACCATTAATCATGCCAATTGATAAAATATTGAACTAGGTTGGTATCTCTGGACTGCACTCAGATGTCTCTCCTCATACCTTTAACCTTTTCTGTTTTCAGTGTATATGCTGCATTTGAGCAATAAGCTTCTTCCGTTGTATCTTGTACCATTGCTATACCGATGACATACTGCTTTACTACTCTGTTAAAACTAATAATCTCTACAGCCTTACCACTCTCCATGACTGCCTATCTTCTGTTACAAATTGGATATATCAAAATTTCCTCCATCTCAATTCTGACAAAACCTTGTGGTGCTTGTAACTGGCTGACAATTGTTTTACCAAGGATGTCAGTCACTAAATTGGCCCCTTTGCTAGCAATATCAAGACTGTCTCTAAGATCCTCGAATCCTTTTTGACCATTTGAACACTGAACCTCATATTACTGAAATTATTCAGTCAACCTGCACAATCAGAGAAAACATGGAACTTGTAGTGCATCCCTCAGTCTTTTATTCCTTGGCCTACTGTAACTCCCCCTTTACTTACTTTACTCAGTCCTCTCTAGCTCGTCTTTAACTGGTGCAAAATGCAGCAGCTAGGCTGCTAACAAAAACTAGACATGAGTCCCACTTAAACCCAGTTCTTGCCTCCATTCCTTGGCTTCCATTAAAACACAGACTTGATTTTACTTACATGGCCTTACATGGCTTGGCCCCTGTATATATAGCAGATTTGGTGATCCCCTATTCTACCTGTTGGCTACTCCAATGACCCAATCGAGGTCTTTTATGTTTTCTGCGTTCCAATTTCAAATCCAGAGGAAACTGTGCTTTGTGGTCGTAGCTCCTGAACTTTGGAATAGACTTGTCTTTTATATCACATCTACTGAATCTGTGGTTGGTATTAAGCAGCTGCTAAAAACTAATTTCTGTAGGTTAGCCTTTTTATACACGCTTATTTTGACTGTGTGCATTAATTCTTGTCTGTGTATCAGACAAGTATCAAACATGTATGTTTGTACTTGTATGTGTGTATTTTATCCTATATGTGAAGCACTTTCTAACTATGTGTTTTAAAAAGTGCTTCATGAATAAAATTATTATTAGTATACTTGTGAGAACCCAAGGGTCTTTTCCAGAGAGCAGGTTTAACAAACTCTGAGTCTAACCCTGAACTCTAAGTTAATGAACTCTGAGATGGAAAACTTGTCACTTCCAGAACAGCTGATCAGAATTAATTCAATCAACCCTGATTATGTTCACTCTGAGTTAAGCTTGTGCGTGTTGAATGATAAAAGCAATCATTAGTGGAGCTCTGATGCTATTCACCACGTTAACCATGGCAACAGGTAAATATAGGCAGAGCCTCCATTCTAATCTGGTGGATGTAGAGATATTAATAACTGGAATTGCAGGCTCTGCTGCTGGGGCTCGGCAGGATTATGTTAAAACTGTCATGTATATGTAAGCCTACATGCGGACTGCGCGCATTTATCTTTAGAATAAGAGCCTGAGTCAGAGCGAGAAAAGGTGTCACAACGTTTACAGAATCCTTTTTTTTTTTTTTTTTTTATTCAGTGTTGTCTATTAATTTGTCATCATAAGGCATAAGACAGCTGTCTTCAGTGTGGACATGCAGAGGTTTTTTTTCTGAGCTGAAGGTGACTTGATACTTTGTAATATTTTAATGTGAATGTGCAAATATAGCTGTTCAAAAAATGACTGATAGCACATAAAGCTGTAACTTTAGATCGTCCTGAGTAACAAACCGATATCCAATCAGGACATCCAGTAAACTTCTGCTAATTAATGCACTTTGATATGCACTTCGATACAGATCCAGAGTTTAAGTTACCTCTCTTTCTGGAACTGAAAACCTGGGCCCGTATTCACAAAGAATCCTAAAACTAATAGTAGCTCTTAGTGACGTCATTCCAAGAAAAATCTTAAGAATTCCTCGAATTCTAAGATTTTTCTTAGAATTTTCCCTTGGTAAGATAAAAGTTATTCACAAAGCATCTTAGGTCTTAAGAGAGCTCCTAAGGTGAAGAACTGTTAAGAGGAGGGAGGAGGACTTTTAAGAAGCCAAAGAGTGTCTTAAACAGAGAAGATAGCGGAAAGACAGAGAGGAAGGAGAGATATTCTCCGTATATAGAATGACAGTGATTTAATAAGATGCTACCGGCTTGATTGTGCAGGGATAATGTTTGTGGTTGACCTCATCAGGGATGACCTTACTTTTCCCACCCCGCCCGCTTTGGATTGCAGCACGTACCAGCGCTTCTCACACTCATCGCTTGTGCGTGAAAGGAGAGGGAACGACACATTGATTTGTCGGGCAATGCGCTCCCAAGTCTGCCTCTTCCCTTGTGCCGTGATCCCGGGAACAAATTTCCCTCTTAAAACTCCTTTGTTCTCCTCCACAAGCTGTGCCAACAGCAGGCACTGCTCTTCTGTCCAGTTCGGCTTTCTCATTCTTTTTTTCTCCATTTCGTTCGTTGTTTTGGTCATTTTGCCAAATCAAACCGCTTTTTACAAGGAGGCCAGCAATCACAGTAATTGCTGACAGCTGAGTCTGCGTCCACCATTAATATCAAATAGATTAAGTAGTAAAATTACCAGCATGGTGAGTAAACATAACAATAAGCAAATCAATATAATAATCGGCATGTGAATGAGGTACGTTCAAACATTTTGAAGCTGTGTAACAATTAATTTAATTTTGCTAAGTTTCATCATCATGACATAAAATTATTTTCACGATTACACATTTCTTAATACAGTCTAAGTTCTATGATCGGTTGATTTCACTGTCCATTCATTACTAGGAGTGCATTTGTTTTTGTTTTGTTTTTTCTTTTTTCCTTTTTGTAACAACCAATCACAGCTTTTAGAAGACTGCGTCATACCTAGCAACAGGGTCAACCACACCTCCTCACTAAGATAAAAGTTTCTGTCCCCTCCTTGCTCAGAGCTGCTCTCAGAAACTTCCCCAATCACTCTTAAGGCCCGAACATACTCGGGCGGAACGTACGCGGAACAGACTCCGCGAGGAATGTCCGCAGTCATTCGGGCTTCCATAGTCGAGCGCACTTCCGCATTGTAGTTTCCTGTAAAAATGTGAAAAATACATGCCGAGCTTTGCACGCACAGGGCTTGCGGACGTCCGCTTTGAGTCCGCGCGGACCTCCGCAGAGTCCGTTCCGCCTATGTTCCGCCCGAGTATGTTCGGGCCTTTAAGCTAAGATTCCTTGCTAGGAATTTTTAGGCTAAGTTAGGATCTCTCTGAGAGGACTCTGAGAATCTTTGTGAATACGGGCCCTGGAGGTCTTCTCATCTCAGAGTTAACTTACTCAGAGTTTTGACTTAACCAGCTTTCTGGAATACACCCCAGATAATAAAATGGTCGTTGTCTGCACATGGTTAATGCAAGGCAAACTAGTTACCAGTTACTACTACTTACTACTAGTTACTAGTTACTTGTAGTAACATTATGCTGAGTGCACATGATGAATCAGCAATCCCTTAAAATGTTGCACTTCAAAGTATAAATAGTTGATAGTGAATACTTGATGTACCCTTGTATTAGAATTATATCATTTAACCATAGAAAAACCAACGAATAATGTGGGAACACATTTTTACTTTAGCATATTTATCTCACTTTATTTAAATCTCTCAAATGTTTTTAGTGCATTCTTATAAAATATTTTCAAAGCCAAAGAATTAAAGTACATGCTTCAGTGCAAATCAAAAAATTGCTCTTGCTCTTTCAGGTTTGCAAACTGAGTGGTAACCTGGCACAATTATTTATGATTTAAATCTCCTGAATAAAACAGGCAGTCCTAACCTTTGATGCCAATTATAGATCCCGAGATCCCTGGAAGTCAAAAGCAATGTGGAACTGTTGCAAAGGTTTTTACTTCAGTTTAACTGCAACAAAAGAAAAACATGACCTTGGTGCCTTGACTGGGAAGGCTATTCCCTTTCTCAGTCAAATACCTTAATGGAGCCGAATAACTGATTAAATTACTAGTTTAATGAGATCAAATAAAGGACAGCATTTTAGATACTGAAAATACACATCTGTTATTTTCAGTCAGAAAAGTCCTCACGGACAATATGTTGTTCAAGTGTTCTGTCAAAAAGACATTGTTGCCTGTAGAGTTTTATTGATGAAAGACTTTTTACTACAAAGCAGTCACTGTTTTCATTTCACTCCCTTTGTGCAACCCTGCAGATGCCAAGCCAGTAGACACTTCAACACACACCAGGAGTATCTTTATATCTTCACTGTATGTGTCAGTGAGTGATGACAGAGGTGTGTTCCTTTCATCATTCGGATGAAATTCGAGAGCAAAAGATTTTTGAGGCACCGTGGCTATAAATTTGGTAACCGTGTCTCATATGTACTTACTTAATTTAAGTAGTTACTGATTCTGTTGCCCACAATGTTTTTAAAAAGTCAGAAAAAACAATTAAGAACATTCATGCAGTGCTGACAACAGCATCAAAAATGAGGAGGATGCTTGAAGTGAAACAGAAGTGGATTCAATGTTTTCAATCACATGCTTCAAAATCAAAACACACAGTGTCTCCTGTTGATTCTTCATCATGCATGTTTTGTCTTTTTCCAACAACTGTTATTTACTTCACTCTTAATTTCCAAAACTGGCCATCTGGTCTGAGTAGGAAATTACATGTGGGTGGGACAGAGTCAACATGCTAAAGGGCAGACGCCTGGATCCAGCCTTTAGGCTATCTGTTTATCATGCATTCAGCGACAATAAATTGAAGGCCAGATTCATGTTTGGGTTTAATGTTACTGATGATCAGCACTGAATTTAAATAGTTATTTTCGTATGATATATTCATCTAACTAGCTGGACTCTGTGTCTGAAGTACTTACATTTCAGTGCCAACAAATTATTAAAGCTGTATGTGCTGCGTGTTTGGAATTATACTCACATCACTGTAAGGTGTAATGCATTAAAATCCATCGATCATAGTCAGGGTTTAATGACTATAATCATCAGTATATAAGGGCAGTTAATTACCTCTAACGCTTACAGTACTCAGGACCCACAAAGATGAAATTATGCAACACTCGAAAAGGGCTTTCAACAAGCAAGTAAGTACCAGTAAATATTGTACATGCATATTAACTGTCCAGGGTCCAAACCCCTGGGCGAACTGACAAATTTCTATGTTGTCTTTAAAATACCATTACATAGCCTTCATGTTTGTGAGTTTAATTCCGTTGGAGTTAAGTATTTAAATTGTGCAATGGTTAACAGCATGCAAATTTGTATGTGATACTGCCAGCATGTTGCTACTAACTTTAACTGAGATTTAAAACTTGCCCATCACAGTTCATACACCTAGAATGAAGCAAGGAGTCAGTCACTGTACCTATTGGTTGTAACAATACTGTGTAGCCAAGGGAGGGGCTGGGAATAAAAAAACAACCCTGGATGTGTGTCTCCACCGAAACTCACCTGGATAAACACCACCATCCCCACAGCCACACAAGCATTAGGAATAAAGATTACATGAAGATACAGCCAGGACTCTAATCTGTTTGAGTGACAATCTGACAGGTCTGAAAGCTACTGTCAGGGGCTTACAGCCACAGTCAATCATCCTACAATGTTATAAAGCAAGTTTTTATTGCCAGAGCACTCAAAGCAATACCTCATACTTTTTATCTAGGTAGAGTTGTTGGCAGTAAGTAAAAAGATTCAAATAAGTAGAGGTGATACTTACATACTGAGACTTGTCCAGTTGTGCCATGCTAACTGTCTCTGAGTTGTCCATCAGGGCAGAATCAAAGTCCTGCAGTCCAACACTGGAATGGACGACTTTGTCCTTCACAAAGATGCTGACTGCCCGTAACATGAAGGACACAAACAGGTGCATGTGGATGTAGTTTCTGGTGCAGTGAAGTCGCCTGCCATGAAAAAGAAATAATATTCACTGTTATAAATGAATGATTAAGAGTACAATAAGATGCAATCCAAACCACTAACATGTCTGTGTAGATACTGTAGATGGCTACATACAAAGGGCTCTAGTTTCCCAGCACAGCGCAGGGTGGTGCAGGGTGGCGAACCCCGCGCAGAGCTAGTTTCGAGCAGCGCAACCCGAGGCGCGCTCAGTTTGGTAGTTTGGCAGACCGAGGTGCGCTGAGATGGGTGTGGCGGTGCAGCAGGGGGAGGTGTCAACAGATCCAGCTTGGCGCAGTGACAGTTTCGTGCCAAAAGGTGCGCTAAAAGCTTGCCAACTGAAACCACGTCTACTGTCAGCGCAGGCAGAGTGCAGCCGCTGTAAACCGAAGTTTGGCTGACCGGCGGACAGTGCGCACACGTCACCAAAACCTCACAGGCAGGTTTCCAGAATATCAGGCACATTAATAATGCAATAAATACCCAAAAAAAACACTATTCAATGCAACTATCTGCAATCAGCACATAAATGTATCTCTATATCGACTGTCCCGTCACATCTGATGTCAGATCAAAGGGGATTGGCACCGTTTGGCACGTTTGGCACGCGTAATGGAAACCCAACCTGATTTGATTAAACAGCTGCAAACTAATGAGTTCACATCCCTCTCAGCCAACCACAAACAGCCACAGCATCAGATAGGGAGTATATATTCAGCATCTGTCATCTTAGAAAAGTCAAAAGAAAAGAAACATAGTGAGACTGTGAGAGAGAAAGAGAGAGCGTGCACGCACGAGAGAAGGACAACATTGATTTACAATTGTGGTGACCTCCTCCCAGGCTACCATTGCATCATCAGCCAGTGGAGGTCTGCTCGCAGTTCCGTATATTCAGACACTGCGAGCTTGGACCTCCCAGACCAAAACATCAGTTTCCTCCTGGGAGAAGTTTGGCCGTCTGACGCTGCTGCTCTCTTCTGCCATGGTGAATTGAGTAAACTCTCATTACGCCTTCGTGCGGCGCATTTAAGGGCGAGGAGAGGGGCTCATTTGATTGGTGTGATCTGCATGGGCTGTGTAAAACCCACTCCACGCCTTCTCTCCTCCCTCTTTCCGACTTACGCCGGTTGGAGGGACGGAGGTGGGAAAGAGGAGTAGCTGGGCCAGGTCGCACAAAATCCACCTGGCCACACCCAGTTGGCGAAGCGCAGGTGCGCTGCACCTCCGCTGCGCTGTACCTCCGCTGCACCCGGTCTGCAAAACTAGAGCCCAAGGAGTTCAAGTCAAATAAATCTAGGGCTGTGTAAAACAATAACGATAATTATCTCAATATAATTTCCCACGATGGAGATTTAATAAATCCTCAATACAATTAACCCCATACACCCCTAGAGGGGGCCAGTAATGAACCCAGAGTGCCAGTTTCCACCAGCCACCTAGGAGAAGAAGGAGAAGTAGTAGTAGCAGAAAAAGAAGACAAGACCTGCCACTAATACGTATGGTAACATTATAACAACAGTAGCAGGTAGTCGACGTAGGTAGACTTTTTCATCAGACTGGTTTGACATAAGGTGACTAAACGTAATGTGAATAAAACTTCCATACACTTCCTCGTCTGTAAACATCTATTCCCAAGTTTCATCAGCAGTAAATAACACCATGTTACTTCATGACGACATCAAAGTCCATCCTGTTTTTAAAAAGAAACTGCACACTGTACTTGTAAAGAAAAAAACTGACCACAGTTGAGATTTTTGTTGTTTTGTATATTTATTCTGTTCACATTATCAGCTGAAGCACTTGACTAGATTTGAGATTTCTTTGTCTATTTGCTGTTTTATTTATTGACATTATTTTGATTATAATTGTTTTCAATCTACCTCAGATTTTTAAATGATGCGTGTGTGTCACACTCTGATGATAGATAATAGTTTTACCACAGTTAACAGTCGGGTTTCTTGAGCTGTCACTCAGGAGCAAAAGTCAGCCTTTGAACTTGAAAGAAATAACGATTTTACCTTTTAGATAATTATCACTTATTATCATATTGACTGTTGTGATTTTTTTTTTATCATGATAACATTTTTAGCCATATTTCCCAGCCTTACACAAATCTCATTTATTTCAGCTTGGGTTGGCCTGAAGATGATGCATGTGTTATTAGGGAATAAAGATGTCTTGACTGAGGAGAGAGTCTAAGGCTAGGCTTCAGGCACTGTTGAGTTGAGACTGAAGAAAAAAAAAACTTGAGTTGGTTGATCAGATGAGCACTGACAGTAACACTCCCAGCTCCATTCCAGCTTAAGGCGCTGTAGTGGTTGGGAAAAAAATTTCAAGTGGCATCTATCAGAAAATACAGCCAACCAATTCTATAACAAAATGTCTCAATGTCTTTTTCCGTAAGGAAAGCCAAAAGATATCTGTAAGAACCATCAGCTTCTCAGTTTAAAGTTTAAATCTCAGAGCCTCAAAGTCAGTTGTTTCTTCTGTTACATTTCTGCACTCCCAGCAGTGGTGAACAAGAAGCTGTCAGGGACTTTATAACCCACTTCATTGTAGGCATAAAGGTCTTGGAGCCACAACACTGGGCTGTGGCAGTGACACATCATTGTCCTTGAAGAAGCCAGCACAGAACCGCATCTTTCTGAGATGTAAGATGTGGTTTATTGTTCTCAGTCACTGCAGTCAGAGATTGTTTTGGAGGCTGGCAGTTGCTCTTCGGCCAAGATGTTCCTCAGGACCACACATACAATTCTTTATTTTCACTCTAATGAGCATAAGTGCCGTTGTTGTTATTGCTGCTTTTAATTACTGTAAGAAAAATCCTGTTTCATCCTCAATTCACTCTCAATAATCAGTTTACTGTTGTAGAGAGCACTGTGTGGCAGCTATATTTGTGTCAAGAGCTGTAAATGTCTGCCTGAACATTTCTAATTTGCACTGAGAGAGATATTTCCCTGAATAATTTAATTAAAAGTATTCAAGCCCATAAAACAGCAACATTTTTCTCAGCTCTTGTTGCGCTGCATTAGATATCCTGGTTATCCCATAGTTGCTCAGCACTGTAATAATGTGATTGTTAACTGCCGTTTGCTGAGGTAAATGTACTGTAGCTAAATAAAGCGTCATATTAGATGATGAATATTACACATAAAGAGAGGCGACAAAGTCGGAGAGAGACGAAAGAACTGAGGGAGGCTGAGGAAGAGCCAAAATCAAAGATTTACGAGCTGCCTTATGATCTTAAACACATAGCAGTGCTTTGACCTCTGTTTGTCAAAAAGCATCATGATGGCTCTTTGAAGTTAAAGCTGTAACTGATCCAGAAAATGTTTGAAGTTCTCCTGATCACCTTCGGGACATTCCTGTCTGAGATTAGATGTTTTTGACTAAATCAAATTTCCTGCAACCTACTCCTGTTGTGAAAATGCTGCGAGTAGAGTACCCACTACTAATTAGATAGGTTAATTGGTGACTCTAAATTGGCCGTAGGTGTGAATGTGAGTGTGAATGGTTGTCTGTCTCTACATGTCAGCCCTGCGATAGTCTGGCGACCTGTCCAGGGTGTAACCCGCCTCTCGTCCAATGTCAGCTGGGATAGGCTCCAGCCCCCCCCGCAACCCTCAAGAGGATAAGCAGTTAGAAAATGAATGGATGGATGGATGGATCTCCATTTGGGTTTTTACAGCAGTTTGTGTCACAGAGCCTCTTGCCTGTGCATGGTAAGCTCCCTGTGTTGTACACACACCAACCAAGCAAGGCTGGGGTAGAAATGAATGCCCAATCTAAAAGTCTACATTTCTGGTTGGATGGACAAATGTTCCTACTTTACACATTATGAAAGACTTGGGTATCAACAGGTTTTTTTGGATATGTGCAAATATCACAATGCTGATCTTTCCAAGGAGGTGGTTGAAGGAATGAAAGAGGAAGGCTGTGTTCACATGGTTCAAACTTTGAAGAAATCCTATTTTGACCCAAAGAAGCAAAATGGCACAAGCAGCTCAAGCCATTGCACTTTTCCACATTTTGTTGTGATAAATGACATGTTATGCCACGTTAATCTGAGTACGCACAGCTGCATGTTGACAGGAATATTAGTGGAATATTCACTTTCATTAGCCATGCAGAAAGGAGCTTAGTAGGAATATTGTCTTTATCAGAATAAGGGAGAAAACAGAATATTTTGTAGTCTGTGTTCACAATGATGGATTGCCTTTATATGGAAAGAGGGAGAGATGCTTTTAAAAGCACTGGGCAACACAAGTGTGGCCCAGAGGTTAATATTGTCTCAAAATAAGCTTGTTGTGACCTCAGATCACAGTTATTAGTCTCTCCACAGGTGGACATTCAGTTGCTGTGCACTCAGCAGCCCTTCTCTGTAGCCAACACTTGCTACCTGGGTTTTGGCAAGACAGGAGTTGCTGATAAGGATTTGTGTCAAGTAGGTATAATTGTTGTGTATTGGTTATCCATAATATATTTAATCAGCTGTGGTTATGCAGACAACACTGCTTCATTTTCAGACTGTGATTTTAAAACTTCCCTGTGTTTCTCTTCCATGATCGAAATAAAAAGGTAGGAAAACTTTGATTCAGTGGGCGCCATACAGTCTCAAGAGGACAGGGCTTTCCAAAAGGTTGCTTAAGTGCTGAGGGGATGATTACAACCTCTGTAAAATCTGTCATAATAAACCTGGAGAGGCTTACCACAGAGAGTTTAAAATGTAAAAAGAAAAAAATCAGTCTTCTCAAGGCTGTTTGTGGTGCATGAAGAGAAATGGTTTCCCTTTCCTTCGCTCCTCAGTGCAAATAGAAGGAAGTAATGCTTTCCTTTAAATCAAGGCTTTTAGTTTTTCTACTTTCCCAAGTTTTATGATTTGAAAATGTACATCATCTTTATTTTTTTCACAAAATGGATGTGAATTGATCTGTCTGTATCCCTGTTTTTTTTCCACAAAAAAGTGGTTTAGTCACAGGATTGGTAGAAAAACTACATAGCCTTG